TTTTTACGATTGGTAGATTGCTAACCTTGCCAATTACCCTCCACATTTTATCGGGGCTTGTAACCGGCTGTTGTAACCGCAGAGCTACTTAATACACCCCGCAATCACTGCAGGCAGTGTTTTTAATGTCAAAGATGTACCTAACAATAATAAAAAGAAAATATCGAAATTAATACTGTTATGAGCAAAATCTGATTACTTACATTACTTACGTACATTACTTTTTTATGTTTTTTTGTTTCATAAAAATTACTCAAATTCATAATATATAGGGGTACTTTTTGTTTAACAAAATTAAAAAAGCTGGTTTTTCAAAATCTAGATGAGGAACCCATTTAAACACGTATAACTTAGAAGCATAAAGATGTGAGTTAATCTTTTGCACTAACCCCCACATTTATGATGTTGATACCTGGCATTATAAATTATAGATAACCGTTAAGGTAATCAGTTTTAAATTATAAATTATCGAAATTATGTAGTGTTAAATTTGGAGAATAAAAGAAAAAATATTTATGTAGTGCCTATTAAGATTTAAATTTTAGTTTTGTTTTAAAAGTGATGTCTCAAGGTACCTAAGTTTATATTAAATATATTTTCTAAAACATCATCACTATCATCATTATGAGTTTACAACCGTACGTGAGTCCTAGCCTATTCAAGAATTTCTCTTCAATCGTCACTATCCGTCGCCTTCCTCCACCAAGCATGTATCCCCATATTTCCAATGTGTTCATCGATTTTATCTTTGCTTGACATTTTGGCTAGGTAGGCAGCCGAGATAGAACAGGTTTGACAATGATATGAAATCTGTCCATCACTTCATTTGTTCTTTGAAATAAACAGAAAGATTTTGTATACATTTATTAAAATAAATAACATTTGATTATTTTGAACTTTCATAATATTTAACAGCCACAGAACATACATTTCAAGAAAACGATCTATAATTTGTCTCGAACTATTTTAACCTTAAGTTAGAATTAATACGTAAAGGTCAAAAATATCTTTAATAACATAGTAAACTATGAAGTGTCTAATTACAAATTACAACAAATTATTAGTACTTTTACCAGTTCTCGTATGAAAGCTGCTACATAAGATTTAAATCATAACAGGAACGATGTCGATTACTTAAACCGCCTCCATTGAGGTCGTATTTGACCTTCCTCCAATACATGCATGTATGGAAGGTAAAAGCATGCAAAAGGCGGATGAGAGGTCAGGAATCCTGGTAAAATGATATCGGAATCAAATCTAAAGAGATAATAAAAATCATAGAGAGTTGGAAATTGAGAGTATAATGATTGCAAATCATTATACTGCAACCGGATGCAACGGATGTTGCATCCGTTCCCATGTATCGACCCAAAACACGATATACAGCACAAGAACAGAAGTATTTGAGGAAACTCGAAACTAAAAACTGGAGAACGAAACCTAGAATTACAAATAAATAAATAACCCGATAAATTGACCGGTGGGGTCAAATAGAGAATACATTAAAAATATATATTTACCATACTGTGGGTTGTTTGTCTTTTTTGAGTACAATGTTGTGTTCAAAATTCTTTACGAATATGTTGGCTAATAATGAAGATAAGGATTAATCCATGGCTAATCCGAAATGTTGCTTATAGTAATCAATATCAAGTTGAAAATAAGTGTTATCATTGGTAAAAAACTGGTGATATCAAAACTGACCAGCATGTTGTTAGCATTTTAACTTATTTGTGCTAGTTTTTGCATGAAATATTATGAATTTTTGATAAAAGATGTTGTGTTATACATTATAGGTTGTATTATGACTAGAATATATACTTTCTTTTCTGGACAACACCGGACAACATCACATATGTCCGAGATATTGGAATTTTCTTTCGTTTATTGTATTTTTCATTTTCTTTTCTCTGCCTATTTTCTTAACACTTCTGTATTCGTGACTCTATCTACCCATGGAATCCTTAACAATCTTCTTAATGTCCACATTTCAAACGCGTTAAGTCGATTTATTGTATTCCGGTTTAATGTCTATTATTCAGCTCCATGAGTGCATTGTGTACATAGCATTTAATTAGCCTTATTCTGAGGGCCAATGTCAGATCTTTGCTGCATATTTTTTTTTCACTTTCACGAAGTTGGCACGTGCTTTCTCAATTCTCACCTTTATTTATGCAATATAATCGTTATTTTCTGTAATTATCGTTTCCAAGTAAGTATATGTTTTTACTTTCTTAATCTGCTGGCCGACTATCGTTAATATTTCGTTAGTATTGTTGTTCTTGATAATTTTCATGAATTTGGTTTTTTTGATATTAAGAGATGTTTGTCTGTATTCTCCATTATATCTTAATATTTTATTCATTATTTTTTTTAAGTCTTTTAAGTTGTCGGCTAATATGACTGTATGGTCGGCCTATCTGTTGTTAATTAAACTTCCGTTCACTTTTATGCCGACTTTTTTGTTTACCAAAGCTTCTTGTATGATATCTTCAGAATAAGCATTAAACAATAACAACGACAGTATGCAACCTTGCCTAACCCCTCTCCTTATCTCCATTTTTTCTAACACTTCTCTTCCAAATTTCACATTTGATCGTTGGCTGTAGTATAAGTTTGAAATCAATGTTACTTCTCTTACATTAGGAGTCTTATTTTTGAGTACTTATATAAGTCGATTATGTTTTACATTATCGAACACCTTGTTGTAGTATATAAAGCATTTATAAAGATCTCGATTAACATCCAAACATCTTTGGGTTATCACGTTAAAAGAAAATAGTCCCTCTCTTGTGCCCACTCCATACCGAAATCCAAACTTCGAATCACTAATATCTCCAGATTAGCGTGTATTCTTTAACGGATGATTTTTAGCAGTTTTCTTAAGGTATGTAATATTAGACTGATAGTTTGATAATCATTATATTATTTGGCATTTACTTTCTTTGGTAGGCAAATAAATGTGGATGTCAGCATTTCACGTGAAATGATTTCTAAGGATTAGATTGTGTTCAGTAGTTGGACTAAATAATCTATGTTTTTTTCATTGGCCAGTTTTAGCAATTCACTTGACATTTCATCTGAACCAGCAGCTTTATTGCTGCATATAAAGATATTTCGGGTTCCTCGTCTTTACTCTGATTATTTTCATATATATTTTCCTGTCTCTGGTCATGGAATAATTCCTCTATATATTCTTTCCATCTTCCTAATTTTTGATCCATCTCCACTGTTTCCTTGTTTTTCCAATAGTATGCTTGAGTTTTTTTGTTTTGCTACCCCAGCTAATTCTTTAACTTTCTTATGGAGATTGATTGAATTTATCATATTTGTTTTGTAAGTTTTCTATTTCTTGGCATTATCCAGTGAAATAAATCTCTTTAGCTTCTCTGATTTTCCTTCTTACTTGATTATGCAGCTGTTGATACTGAGGTATGTTGATATTCTGTTTCCTTCTTCTGTCCTCCATCATTTTTAAGATTTCTTCTGTCATTTAATCTCCTTTCTTGCATCTGGTTGTTGTGACTTTTCTGCGACTTGGTTCAATAATTGTATTTTTAAAGAATTGCCACTGTTGTTCTACATCACCATCAATTGATTTCGGTGTGGATTCTAGGTTTGCATTAATTTTTTGTTTCAGTTTTTCTTTAAAGTCCTCTGATTTAAATTATTGTATGTTTAGTTTATTACTTTTGTAGCTTTTTTGTATCTTTTAAGTGAAGTTGGAATTATGCTACAAAAGGGTTGTGGTCCGACGCCTCGTACTGGGTAAGCTTTTACCGATTGTATTGCATTTCTGTATCTGTAATTTATTAAAATATAGTCAATTTGGTTTCTAACGATTTTATCGACCTTGCCAGCTGGCGATTTCGAAGTGTAAAGGCGTCGTTTAGGCAGTTTGAAGAAAGTATTTATTACCACAAGATTATGTTCTAGGCAGAATTATATAAAGCGTTCTCCTCTCTCATTGCGAATACCGAGTCCATATGGTCCTACAGTAGACTAACATCTTTCTTCTCCAACTTTGGCGTTAAAATCACCCATGACTACTGCGATATCTGTAGATGTTGTATTTTTTAGGGTGTTTTTGGAGGTCATCTGTTTTATTGGCGGTTGGCACATAAATCTGAATAACGTTTAATTTCCCATGTGTTGTCATCATTTGTATTAGCATAATTCTTTCCGATATTGGTATAAAGCCTACAACTGATTTTGAAACTTTTTTACTGACATTAATTAGTGGCAATTAGGTACTCCATACCGATGTTGGCTGTCGGTACTACTAGAGTAGAAAAGTCGACTATTGGTTGTACTTAGTTAGCCGGAGTCAAGTAATCTTGTGTGATTTATTCCCAATATGTCGATCTTAAGTCGCATCATTTCTTGTTCTATGTTCCTTGTATTACCAGGCTCATACATGCTTCTAACAATCCATGTCGCTATTCTAAAAGTAATAGATAGATAAACACTAACAAACAAATGTTTTTTATGGTATCAGTGTTTCATGAAATATTGCCGTTTATTAAAATTCAGAGACAACGAATTTCAATGCTTAATTTTTAAGACAAATAGCAACTGCACATGCAACATTTTAAAATATCAAACAGATCAGTTCCACTTTTGCAAGTAGTCACACTGAGTACTATGAATAAATATCCAATAACTATTGTTTATGTATTAATTCGATAGTTTAAATAAAAATCATAAAACTTATAAAAGTCAAATCATTACTTTGAACGATAATATTCCATGATTTCTAACTGGAATTATGATAACAGCGCATTGATCAAATTGCTGTGACCTTTGCTTAAGTACAACAATTTTGATATAGGTACATTAGCTCCAGATAAGATTTACTAAAGGTCAATCAAAATCGCACGTTTATATTTTTATTTGTCTCTCTTTTGAAGACTCTGTTTTTACCTTAGTAACAATAGCGTTTTTTAAATGATATATGGCTTGTAAATTATTGTAAAGAAAGTTATATTCATCATAGATCGCTTATCTCTGAGTATTACACATAGATATATTTCATTGAAATTACATAAAGACATTTGAATTAATTGACAAGTAACACTTATACTGGATGGATCTTCGTCCTTTTAAACGGTAATCATATGAACTGCTCGTTGTGCTCCATAAAGGTGATGGTCGGGGCCGATCTGGGGTTTCTATGGACGCAAGTATAATTCAACCTGGTTGTGTGGTACCTGTACATTTCCGGGCATAACATATCGAAGCTACCGTCAATGGTTTCCTGAAAAATTTCATTAAATTATCACACGATGTTTCTTAAATAGACATGCCTTAACAATATGTTTGTAGATATTTTTTGTCATTAAAAATAAAGAAGGCTGTAATTTAGAAATTAAACAATTATAAAAATAATTTTTTCATAAAAATACTTTGCAATATCTTAATAAAGAACTAGAGTAACAGGTAATACGTATACGGAACTTAAATCGCATGCTAAACAAATAGATCTGTCAAAAAACAAAAGAAAGACTAGAACTCTAGTACAAAGCAAATTGAAGAGAGCAACACGTTCCGCTCTGACATTTGAAAAGTTAGAAAAAGTAGCTTTATTTATTTTGAAATCAACATCTCAAATGATAACACTGACAATGCAGAGCTTAGCAGAAGAATCATTCTAGCCAATACGACATCCATTATTGAACTAAGATATGAATTAATAAGACCATAATCTAGGTGATAGTGGGCTATGGATGTGAAACATAATTAAAAACAACACGTAGCGAATCAGATACAATTATAAAATATGTAATATACATAAAGGACCACCTTTATCTCAGAATATCAATGACAATGGACAGGCCATGTATTTAGAATGAAAACAAATAGATTACTATTAAACTGGGAATAAGCCACGATTAAAGATAAAAATACGTTTATTGACGTTTTAATTTCCACTTCGGAAATCGTTCTCAAAATACAAACAGTAAATTAAACAAATTTTGTTTTTTGTTACATAGTGAAAAATTCTTCTAATAATTTAATTTTATCTGACTCATTTATATTGACAATTCAGACATACATTATGCATTTTAAAGTAGACGACTTTAAAATGATATTGCCAATATTGTTGAGTTGCGCTCCTGGGACGACTTTACTTATAAGATAGTTCATTCGATTACATGAAATCAACTTTAACTTGAGAATATCCATCAGAAAAAATCATAGCATGTAATTCGTCTTTAAAAAGACAAACACATGACATGATGACAGTAAAATTCTCTTGTTAGTGATTCCATAGTAAATTATGAGGGAAAACCAGGAAAAAACCTCATAATACTATCCCGACATTGTAAGTATTTGTTCGTGAATTTAGTTTACCTTCAACAAACATCAAAATTCTGATTTTATATGTTACGTTATTTAAAAAACATAAATGATGTATCCTCTATATGTTACTGACTTACTAATACTGGTATTTTCTTATTAATAACTTCCTCTTTCAATATTGGTAACCAGATCCTACTACATTCTGCCGAAGAATTTGCGATACAATTGGCCTCATTTAACATAATTAGAGCCGCTTCTTTGATTTTTCTTTTTTTACCATCCGTTTCTTTTAGGACTACATTTGAATTACTCCATTGAACCCTATGTTCATTATCCCATGCGTGTTTACAGATTTGAGATCTATCAAATTCTTTATTTTTAATATAAGATTGATGTTCACTTAACATTTAATGGCCTTGATGATTCACCTAAATAAAACTGATCGCATTCACAAGGTATTTTATAAATGCAATTCTTTGTCCTTTTTTGTTCATTGTTAGGTTTGGTTTTGGACAAAATAGATCTCAACGTGTTTGTTGTTTTGAATGTTGTTGAAATGTTGAATTTATTTCCTATCCTTTTAAGTTTTTCTGATAGTCCTTTTATTCTCAATATGGCCTCATGGATCAGAGTTGTTAGACACATTGCTAAATAATATAAACGATAAAGAAGAGACAATAACATTTACCACGGAAAAGGAATATAATAACACGCTACCTTTCCTGGATGTTTTAATCTCTAAGAACGATACTGGATATGAGACTCAGGTGTATAGAAAACCAACACACACCAATAGATATTTAAATTTCAAATCAAATCACAATATTAATGTAAAAAATGGAATAATTAAATCCTTATACGATAGAGCCAAAATTACTTGTTCTAATGAAAATTCGTTCTTGGAGGAGAAACATTTGTTAACATCTGTTTTATTAAAAAATGATTATCCTTTATCGTTTATAAATAAGGAATTTTCAACAATCGATCGAATAGAACAGAACAACTTAGAACGAGATCCTACAGCATACACAAGGAATAATATGAGGAAAATAACAATACCGTACATAAAAGGACTATCAGAAAAACTTGAAAGGATAGGAAATAAATTCAACATTTCAACAACATTCAAAACAACAAACACGTTGAGATCTATTTTGTCCAAAACCAAACCTAACAATGAACAAGAAAGGACAAAGAATTGCATTTATAAAATACCTTGTGAATGCGATCAGTTTTATTTAGGTGAATCATCAAGGCCATTAAATGTTAGAATAAGTGAACATCAATCTTATATTAAAAATAAAGAATTTGATAGATCTCAAATCTGTAAACACGCATGGGATAATGAACATAGGGTTCAATGGAGTAATTCAAATGTAGTCCTAAAAGAAACCGATGGTAAAAAAAGAAAAATCAAAGAAGCGGCTCTAATTATGTTAAATGAGGCCAATTGTGTCGCAAATTCTTCGGCAGAATGTAGTAGGATCTGGTTACCAATATTGAAAGAGGAAGTTATTAATAAGAAAATACCAGTATTAGTAAGTCAGTAACATATAGAGGATACATCATTTATGTTTTTTAAATAACGTAACATATAAAATCAGAATTTTGATGTTTGTTGAAGGTAAACTAAATTCACGAACAAATACAATGTCGGGATAGTATTATGAGGTTTTTTCCTGGTTTTCCCTCATAATTTACTATGGAATCACTAACAAGAGAATTTTACTGTCATCATGTCATGTGTTTGTCTTTTTAAAGACGAATTACATGCTATGATTTTTTCTGACGGATATTCTCAGGTTAAAGTTGATTTCATGTAATCGAATGAACTATCTTATAAGTAAAGTCGTCCCAGGAGCGCAACTCAACAATATTTTCAATATCATTTTAAAGTCGTCTACTTTAAAATGCATAATGTATGTCTGAATTGTCAATATACATGAGTCAGATAAAATTAAATTATTAGAAGAATTTTTCACTATGTAACAAAAAAACAAAATTTGTTTAATTTACTGTTTGTATTTTGAAAACGATTTCCGAAGTGGAAATTGAAACGTCAATAAACGTATTTTTATCTTTAATTGTGGCTTATTCCCAGTTTAATAGTAATTAATTTACAATGCCACAAGAAAATAGCTTCAGAACAATATTAAGAAAACAAATAGGTTTCCAAAAAACTGTTGAATGCAAGCATGTAGAAGAAGATACCTATTTGAAGACCGAAAACTAAAACAATCCTATTAAACACATTAGTCTTTACTATTGCAACATATGTATCTGACACATGAAAACACATGGACAATTTTTGGTCATAGTCTACATGAAACTTCCATAGCAGCCCAAGAAAAAGAATTTTAAAAATCCACGATCCTGGCGATCAATATATGACGTCACTATACTCATTCGAGAGTTAACCTAGATAAGAGAAGAAATATACTTTTTATATGAATTTCTAAGCTATCAAAGGCAAAAGTTAGTCTTTAGCTTTACTGTGGTCAAGTGTAATCCATTTTAAATTCAAATTAAACCAAATTAATTCATCTTTATAGCAAGCGATTTTAATGTAAATTCCATGACACAAAATAATTCTAGCTATCCTGAGAATTCGTAATCAGCCGCCAAAAATATGCAAAAAAACTTGGGTGGATTCATCAGAATTGAAAAGGCCACATTGGCCAAACTGGCCCCTACGCTAATTAGTCAATTAAATATTTTACAATGTTTTACAAATAATATTGAACACTTCTAAATTTTCTCTGTTAATTATATAAGAATGCAAAAGACTTACCTGACTTTCGACGGGATTGAATGCTCGTCTTGCTCGCTGATGAAGCTGAACTACCGGACATGTAGCCTGCGATAGACAAGATTGGCAATTTTCGAAAAGGTGAGAATCGCTCTCCAGATTGACCCCCGTCCTTCTCAAAAGGTCCGGCGTTTTACTGCTCAACCCTAAAAGTTGAAGTATCAGGTTTAACCAAAAATAAATCGAAAAATAATTAATTTTGTATTACTTAAACGCTTCAAATATGCAATACCTGAAGATATATTCAATTTCTGGACTAAAACTGAATCAAATATCGGCAAGTAGAAAAATTATTATAAAATCAAAAATGTTACGAAAATGGAAAAACACAAAAACTAGAAAGAACTGAAATACGTTATAATATTTTTTTTTAATTAATTTTTGAATAATGACTTTTTTATTATTCTTTATTCTTCTAGTTGTTATAAATAAAGGTATACGTCAAGGAGATTCATTATCTGCAACTCTGTTTAATCTTGCCCTGGAATATTTAGTCAGAAAAATCAACAAAGGTACACTTAGAACGAGAAAGGGACAAATAATAGCATATGCCGAATATATTGTGTTAATAACAAAGAACAGAAAATGCAGCTATGTTAAAAGAATTGGTAGCAGAAGGGAAAGTAATGAGAAAAATGAAAAATAATGAGATTTGACAAAAAATATGAAAACAAAAAGATTAGACTTGGAGAATATATATTTGAAGAAGTAGAAAAGTTTAAGTATTTGGGAATATTATTAACAAACAATGTAGAAAGGGAAACAGAAATTAAAGAAAGGATAATTACACCAAATAAGACATACTATGCAAATAAAAAACTTATCCCCGTGTGGGGCGTAACGGGCGTAACCCCGTTGGGGTGTTTATATATAATATTCTTCTAGATTTTATGCCTGAAGCTTGCATAAGCTTGTATTTTTATCTCCCAATCTGAGATCTATGATTTAAAATAATATTATTATTTTGGAATGGAAAGAACTAAAACACTCCAAACAAAGAGAAACTTTGCAAGAATTGCATTCAATTCTTGAACGCTTAACTTAATTTTTTGTGCTGCAGTAGGCGCATCTCCTGCAAGATCCTTTGATACGAAGGTGAATAACAACATTTGATATATTTAATCCGCCTTTTACCACTCTCCCACTCACTTTAAATGAATATACTGTACTATCTATAAGATAGTAAAAAATCTTGAGCCACCATCTACGTAACTTCCACGAGATTGAGTAAGTGCCGACAAGTTGGTCAAATAAATCGACACCACCCATAAATTTATTATAATCAGATATACTTTTAGGACATATAATATTGTCCTTTTCTCCCATTTTATTTGTGCGTTTAACATATGCAGTATCACTACTATTGTGCATATTTGATGCCACAATCACCGCTTTCTTACCTCTATCCTTCCATTTTGAAACAGATATATCTCCCGACATAACAGAATCATGCTCACCTAGTTGCATTCTTTTGTCCTTAACTAAAACATCTTTTGGAAAATATTTTCTATTTGACTGCATGGTACCACAACCAAAAAGTTGCACTGATAACAATCTCTTTAGCAATGGAAGAGTGGTAAAAAATCTATCAAAGAATAAACAATACCCAAACCCCTGAAACCCCCGAGAAAGGCTTAAGACAACGCTTTCTCCCAAAGTTACTTCACTAGTTTTGTTACTTTTTCCCTGATAGATTTCAAATCCCAACAAAAAGCCGGTAGCAGCACAGTTAATGGCCCAAACTTTGAAACCTCGTTTGATTGGTTTCAAAGGCATGTACTGTTTCAAACAGCTTCTGCCCTTGAAACCAATCATGCTTTCATCTATTGACAAATTTTGACTGGGGAAAAAGGCATCATGGTAACTTTTGTTTAACGCATCTCTCAGAGGTCTAACCTTATATAATTTATCAAAATGTTTCTCGCACATTTTTGGCATTTTGGTGTTATCATTAAGATGCAAATATCTTAAAATTTGTAAAAATCTTTTGAGAGTCATCACATTTGCAATCCTCGAAACAAAAAAATTTTCATCTGTTGACCAGTATAAACGAATTGATGGTAAAATATGAATTCCCATCAATATCGGAATTCCGAGAAATGCTTTTAATTCTTCTTCATGCAAACAAAGTTGAACACCATTCTGTGCAGCGTATAGGTATATTTGACCGCTGTACAATTACTGCAAACATTGGACCTAAGAGATTTAAAAATATTTTCATGGGTGAAGATACGTCTACCTCAACGCTAGTTCCAAAAGGTCTGTCAAAATGAAGTGTAGACATTAGCATAGGGTTTTGGCTATTTTTGGTGAAACCAAAATCGTCACTTTCCTCTGAAGAAGAACTACTTATATCATCATTTTTAAAATTGGCGTGTACATATCGTTTTTCTGTTATATTTTCGGATAGAATATTTGGATCAGCTATACTGTCATCATAGTCATAATTACTAATATTTGGAGCTTCGCTTGTAGTTTCTTTGCCTCTACTAGTTGTAGAACCACAAAAACTACGGGAGCTAAGTGATGTACTTGTACTTGTTGAAATGGTTCTATCATCTTCAGCATCACTATCCCCTACTATATCTGAATAAACTGTCTGATCGTCGAGAATTTCTCCAAAAAGTTCATTCTCATCATCATCATCCAATTTTTGCAATTCGTCATATGTGTATTTAGGTTTCATTGTTAAAACAGCTGAAAAACAAATATTTTGTGATATGATTTTATCACTAAAAATTTTAATTTTCCAATAGGCGAAAGTTACCTTAAAAATATTTTTTTAAAGTTTTTTAACAAAGATTATTATAGTCTACAATTTTAAAAAACAATTTATGAAAATAGAATTAACAAAAAACTTTGGGAAAAGATGTTACATCATGTTTTAAATTTGAGGGTTATTTTTTTTGCTGTTTTGTGAAATTTCTCTTTCAGGATCAAATAAATAAAAATTATAAAACTTTATTAAAAGTACATACCTTATTAATAAGCAGAATTCGTAACCAAACCAAAATTTAACAATTATTCCAATTTATTCACGAAAATAAACACAAAATCTTAGAAAAATATACTCTGTACCGAAATACTGACGCTAAATGAGCAACTGTCTTGAAGTGGTTAAATATGTGGTTTCTTATTACACTTTGTCGGTTGTAAGCTCTGATGTCATATGTATTGACTAAGCACTCATATATTTGGATACAGATCGTTTACAACACCCGATTGCCGCGAAAAAATTCATTTAACATAAGGAATACAGACATTGTCATCTGTAAAGTATGTGGTTACATATTTAGCCAGAAAGCGTTTACGGAAATGTTAACAAATTTTGTGTGACCGTTAAAGGGATAATCAATATGCAAAGAGCAAAAAAAAATTTGAGGTTTAATTTTAATGCTGCTTAATAAAAGTATTTTGAATAAGTTGCTCTAAGGAGACCTAATGTGGTCGAAATACGTATAAGCTGATGATAGGAGTCTGCAATGAAATTAAATCGGTAAGACCAGTAAGGACATAAGTCATTTGTTGGATATTTCAAAAAGCTGTTCTGATCAAGCAAACCTTATTTATTGCAAATACAATATATTTATGGTAAAAAATATCAAATATTAAATTTAAATTTTCACATAGCATGTTTTGCATGACGATTTTGTCCAAATAGTACATAATATGTATATATTATATAAAGTCATTATCTAATTAAGCTCATCAGCATGTGTCGTTATCGGATTGAGCTGTTGGCCATTCGAGTATGTTATTGTAAAATAGAATGATTGATTTTGGAATGTATTCAAGCAATAAACCAATGTTTTTTACTTCTTGATTGTAATAGGACTGTACAAATTTACCATAAATTTGTACATTGTAAAAATCTTAGATTTTCATAACAAAACTCGACTTCTATCTAAACTTGGACTAGTCCCAAAAACCAGTCCATTCTCGGTCCCGAACTGTTAGCAAGACCAACAAGTTTTTAAAAAACCAAATAGTCGCAAAGCAACCGTCTTAAGAAAAGGTTGGACAAGCAAGCGCTTGCGACCCGTCAAATTCATTTCTTCATTTATTCATTATTTCCTTATTTTCCAATTATCTAGTTTTTGTGGCCAGTATTGTTGGCAGTGAGTGCATGGTAACAAGAGTTAGATGCTGTGCCTTATTGTAAGTAGAAAACTTATATTTAATCTCAACTTTGCAGTTGTTCCAAGTCGCGGTGTTGCCATATCGTGCCGCGAGTGCATAAACGATTTGTGATTCAACAATTTTAACATTTTAACAACGATTTTAATTTACATGTTATACAAGTTAAACATTTACTTTTATCCATAAACTATTAAATGCTATTTTCTACAGTAATGTAGGCTATTTTTCTTCTTGCAATAAAGATATTTTAAGGCTTTACATATTTAATATTTACACCTATCCCTTGTCAGGGGAACAACCTTTCAGGTGCTGGATTCTCCAGCTGGTCCTTCGAAGCTAAGGAGTATCTCAGAAGCTTTGTGTGATCTTTGTGTGATTGTGTGAAGAAAAATCTTTCTCCGAACCAGCAAAGTTCGCTAAGGCGAGCTCCTTATTCGTACATAGGACATTTCCTTATTTTCCTGATACGCGTTTTGCTTTGGTAAAGAAATATTTATCACATTTGACTTTTATTTAGCAGATTAAATTCTTTTACGATAAATCCTTCAATGTAAGTGTCTGCCTCGGCAATACCTTTAGATGTAGAGCGGTAAGTAAACTTTATATAAGAGGATGGCAAAAATGTTTTCTTTTGACTCCTGAGTATATCTTTACCATAAGAATCAGAAGATAAAGATGTTCTTTTAAAAATGTTAGGCCACCAACCGATAAAATCTAGCATTTCATTAATTTGTAATGGTTCTATTTTAAATTTTGTACTCGCTTGTTTTATCAAGTTTTTGTAATAGGGTTAGGCTCATAGATACAATCACGCGTTTTAATTTTTTTATTGTAATGTAATATTACTGAACTGGGTTTTACTTACTTTCTGAACTAATGCTGCTATATAATGTAGAACCTACAATTTCTTCTCTAATTCTAGCTAATCTTTGAGCTGGATCATCCCCCACTAACCAATATGTTTGCATCTCACCTTTACCCTATAAAGAAAAGAATCAAAGTTAGCAGTATTATTGCGGTATTATGGAAATTAATACTATAAGCGAAAGAACTGCATTTTAGTCAATGGTATAAGAATACAGAAGGCTTGGAGAAATCACTATATTAAAGAATAACATGATTTCTCCAGTAAAATTAATATGACTGTATAAAACAAAGCTATGTGTACTAATCACCAATATCGGATACCAAGAAGCTACAAGCAAAAATTTTTTTTTTTTGTGAAAATATTATTAATAAATTAAAACTTGATACATGGAATGTCAGAAGTATGTATGAACCAGAAAAAAATGCATACTGCAATACAAGATATGTAAATAGTATAGATATAGTAAATATCACACTCACTGATTGAGAAGAGTGGGTTTAAAACCAGACATATTATATTGGATTTATATAACATAGTGGTAAAACTGAGAATTTAATGCCTCAGTGGTATAGTAACTAAAAGTACACCCAAAGGTGTTCTTCTCAAACTAAGCACGGTGCAAACACTAGCTTACGGAGCTATGAAGGGCACACCAACAGCAACTATAGAGATTGCATTTATTCTACCTCCTTCACATATAACTATAGTATAAAGGATGGGGCAAGGACGGAATAATATGGACTGTAAGAGAACCTAAGTAATATAACGGTTAGATCAAAACAGTTACATCATTAAAAAAATCAGCGATACCGAATGGACGATAATTTCTGAACATATGGTGCCCAGATATAGGTCTAAAGTACCTGTCCAAGTAGATATCTGTCCACCAAATTGAAAAAGCAGTGGAATCACTCGATCCAGATTGTAAGGTTATACTGCGTCAAAGAGAAAATACCATGAAAGCTTTCCAACTGAAGCAGATCAGTATATGTACATATTGCCAAACACCTATGGGGGCACTCATAAGCTCTAAGATGAAATCTAGGCTAGATTGGGAATGCTAAGAGTAACTCGACAGCTAGGCGGAAAACAACAGTGTTACACTGGTATGGGTTCCGAGATATCCAAGGATATACAGTAATTAAAGAACTTATGTTTTTGCCAGAAGAGCATCAGCAACAAAATTCTGCAGATGTTGTTCTGTCCAAAGGCGGCCGTAGAATAGACAAAACGCAGCGACCGCGCGAAGGGCAAAATGAAGATCAGAAGAAAGGCAACATAACGCTTTAAATAATAAACCCTACTACAGACATAAGGTCGAAAAGGCAGTTTTTTTCTAGATCCGACCAGCATGATGAAAAGCCACAGTTCGAGCTGTGGAAAATTTTTGGTTAATACTTTTATTAAGTTGCAATTATTCTGGCAACCCTAACCCAACAATTAGAAAAGGGAAAAACAAAAAATGTGTAGGCGGGTAGGTACATAGAACAAGAAATGAAAGATCTTATATTGTTACATAAAAGAAATATTTTTTACAATCTGGTATATAGTTTAGTCATTTTAAGATATCTAAATAAATACTGTGAGTTTGACGTTAGTACACTTTTCAAATTGTCACTTAGGGCACACGTGATTCTTTCCTTTTGGTACACTGTACACTCGATAATTATATGTTTTATTAACAACTGTGTGTTGCACTTGGTACACATCGGAGCAGCCTCCTGGGTGAAGATATGCTTGTGGGTAAGGAAACCATGCCCCATTCGGAGTCGGTTAATGATGACTTGGTCTTTTCTATTACTTGTTAAAATGAGTTTGGTTGCTACTTAATTTAGACATTCCTTGAGTTGGTTGGCAGTATGATCCTCCATCCCAGTAAAGTAGTTTGCCACGCTCTGTAATGTGGGCTTTGATATTTACTTTGTGACCAGTACAAGGCATTTGATTTATGATAGCAATACTTTGCTTGATTGTTGCATTGCTTGCCAGAGAGTTCACTTCCTCTTTACCACTTATTTTCATATGAGAAGGTATCCAGATGAAGGAAATTTCTTTTTGTTGAGTCTGTATATAAGGTAGCTCTTCTTTGATATTGAGAAGTATGGCGTGAGTTGTATATAGCTGTTTTTTTCCAAGTAATGCGCTCATTAAATCGGTGATGATAACAAATTTTCTTTCATTGATAGAACCACATTTTTTCATGGCCTGGTGAATTGCCGTAAGTTCTCCAGTATATATACAGCAATTTTTGCGATTCGTATGGTAGACTTGACGTTTTCGTAGATGTAGGCTGCAGCATGTCCTTCATCACATTTGGAAGCATCAGTGAAGATTTGATGGGTTGTTGAGTATTTGGATATTACATTTTGATAAGCTTGATGTATAAGGAAAGGATGTGTGGAATGTTTCGGGAGTTGTATCTGTTTTTGGAGGTTTGATCATCCAATGAGGAAAATTTACATGAATAGGCATAGTAAGACTGAACTGTTCTAAATTAAGACCAAAAAGTTTTATTCGCTTAGAAAATGGTAGTTTTTTTATTGCAATGTTTCTGTAAAGATCGGACAATATATTTGTTCTGCAAAGTATTGTTGAGTAGGTTACGTTGCTGTTGTTTGCTGAAATTCTAGCAACGTAATTTAGTGATAGAAGTTGCCTAACAATAACCAAAGATCGGACCGAAAAGTACCAAAAATATCTAAATGGCGTTAGAATATTCAAAATCAATATTAAATTCAACAGAACAGAAATAACTCAATGTTCTAAACCCACAGCCCCCTAAATTATACTCTATTACCCTACACAAACCTGACCACCCATGAAGACTTGCATTTTTTTTTATACAGCTGCGTCATATAAAATTTAAAAAAAAAACTTGTAGAGATTATTTTCACACAGTATACAAAAAATCTTCCCTAAATTTACCGTAAAGAACACAAAGTTTAAGTTAAGTTAAGGAGCTAGTTAATACGATATAACATTTTCAGTTACCCAACAATTCCGGATTAATTTTATGTGACGTAAAAAATATTTTCTTAACAAAAACTTTCGAACTAACAATTTTTTGACTTTTGAGTACTCTTTTGAGTATTTTTGTCAATATTTGATAGCACCACATCTCAATACTTTCAATGTTTTTCATATTATTCGTTTTGAGAGCCCATACTTTTACGTCGTAGAGTAAGGTAATATGAATATCTTATTACTCTTATTTTTAAAAGGAGACATGGCACGGTTATTTAAACGATTTCTTAATACTTGAGGAAAACGGATCTGGTAATTTCTATACGTCTTCTAATTTCAACATTTTGCTCAGTTGTTTTATTTGTCGTATCTCCAAGATATTTGCACTTATTTACTTTTTTGATGGGGCTGTTATTCTTGTGATATTTGTTTGGTTTATTATTAAGATTCTTACTGAAGATCATATAACTACTTAGTTTCCTTGACAATTATTTATTTATAGTAATTATTGCATGCCATGTTCATATTTTATGATAAAGTTTAAGATGTTTTTGTCAACAGTATGGTATAGTCTGCATGTTAAATAATATTTGTGACTTCTCCGTTGTAGATTATTCCTTAATTTTCATTTGACGGAACCTGGCAACTGTGTTCCCAATAGACATTAGATAGAAGTGACGAAAACACACATCCCTGTCTCTCTGTCCGTGTTACCTTAGTATTATTATGAATACATACCTTAATAGGAGTTACTCCCCTTTCTTCGCAACAATATCCTCCTAGTCGCTGCAATAACATAAAAGTATCATGTGATATGTGTATTCTGAATGCATCCCCGGAGCTTTCCATCCTTGAAGCAGTGTTGACTGTGTCACCAAATAAACAGTATCTTGGCATTTTTAAACCCACTACACCAGCAACAACGTGTCCTAGAAGAGAATGTAAAGTATAGTTTATATTTTAATCAACTTTATAAAACTGCAATAGAGACAAAATATAAATATTTTACAAAGTTACGTAAAGGTTGTTTATAAAGTTTTATATATTTATAATCTTACTATTTTTCACCTTTGAAGTATCATATTTACATAAAACTGGATCTGTAAATTTTATAAAATATACAAAAATATCTATAGATATTACAAAACAAATCTAACTATGATCTTACAAAGAACACTTAAAAGTAAGGTAAGCGAATTTCTTTGCTCCGCAATGTATTAGATAAGAGAAATTTTGCATAATATTATATCGCTGTATTTTATAAAATATACAAATAAATCAAAACAACTTTTATAAAACCCCTGGAGTTACATTTATACCTAAAATGAACGTTGCTTATAATAATTTTTTTGACGCGGTAAACAAAACTGCCCCTGAAAAACCCTCAAACGCCGCGAACACATAACACAGCAAATAAATAGTAAAATACACAGAATATCAAATATACCAAACGAAAACAGAACCATTAACGAATGCTGGTATGCCATTCAAAACTCGATTTTAGAGAACGTAGAAGAGTCTTTGAAAACACCTACCATGTTGGCAAAAAATGAGTGGATGACACAAGAAATTCTAGATCTGATGGAAGTTCGACGGCAACACAAAAATAGAAATATTATCGAATATCGTGAAATTAATAAACGCATAAAAAGAAAAATTAAGCAAGCCAAAGAATCCTGGCTTGAGAATTTATGTAAAGAAATAGAAGACCTCCAAAAAAAGCATGACAGCTTCAACCTGCATAAGAAACTTAAATATACTGCCGGAATTAGAAAACAGAAAAATGCTCACATACTTAAAAGCGCGGACGGAAAAATTTGTCATCACGAACAACAGTGCAAAGAATGGGAGAGATACATCACTGACCTTTTTGACGATGCTTTTAGGGAAAATGCTCCAAATACTGCCTATGACAACCGGTTGGACAGAGGTCCCAATATACTGAATTCGGAAGTCGAAAAGGCAATACTAAAAGGCAAGCCAAAAACAATAAAGCACCTGGACCAGATCAAATCCCTGCCGAACTATTTAAACTTTTGGATGAGGAAAGCATTGTCTGCTTAACCACTTTCTTCAACAAAATTTACAACGAAGGAAAAATACCAGATGATTGGTTCGAGTCACTGTTTATAACATTACCAAAGAATA